ATTTTCCATTTATCGTTGCTGTCACTATTACTTTCATTAAAGGGGAAACTTGTTAAAAATACTAGGAAGAAAGAGTTGAAAAGGTGGGGCCCAAGGTAAATGATAGTTTCTGTGAGGAGAGAAGGGGGGATAGGGATGGGTACTCCCCCAATATGTCCTGTGCTCAAGTTCACACAATTCACTCACCCTCCACTCCAACCTCACTCTTAAAATTGTACCTATTAAAGAACAGCTCAAATTCCATACCTTCCTCCCTCTACGAACCTCACCTAACTTCTCTATCTTTGGGGATCACATCTCTGCAATGCCAGTGTGTGCTGTTTTCCACATGTATTTAACCACAAAATCCTTTACAGCAGGTTCTACATAATGTACACTCGGAAATGAACATTTTCCTTCCTGTCCAGCTGTCCCACTCATGTCCTAGCCCCTCAATAAAGCCTTTCCCAATCATACCAGAACAAGTAATACCTTTGTAAAGTTCTGACAGCATGACAAGTATTCAAGACCCTAGAATGTAAGCTCCAAGAGCGTGGGGCCTTGTCTGTCTGGTTTACCATTGTATTCCAGTGCCTAGTAGGGCTGACACATAGCAGGCACCCAGGAAATGTTCACTGAATGAAGTAATTAAAAGAGATGCCCTTAGCCAATATATTATAATAACTATAAATAGAGCAGAACCTTTAAAAACTGAATCACTATGTTGTACACCTGAAATGTATATAATATTGCACATCAACCATACCTCAAAAAATAAAAAAGATGCCCTGTTACTGAACAACTATAAGTTATTGAAGAGCAGGAACTATATTTTATGCCTATTTCTACAAGCAGGTGAAGTAGACACTGAACAAATGTTCTTGATAACATGATAATAATTTATTGCGGCCTAATGTCACAGTGGGAATTAAAAAGCCAGTTTGGCAACAAGCTCTGACACTGATGAAAAAGAACAAAAAGCCTATTGATGCTTCTCAACTCTAATTTTTAAAGGTAATTATAATAGTTGTCTTCAAAATACTAAAACATTTCCACATATTCCAGAATTTAAGAAAACTCTTAAAGATAACTGAACTGCTTATGAAATTCTTTTATAAATTCATATAATACTCTAGAATCTCAGTGCCTATTATAAGATTTATCTGAATTCTAGAGTTTTAATGTTTTCACAAGTTGATAATACATTAGTCAGAGCCTCTCACATCAGCCCCCATTTCAAAGTAGAGCCGCTCTAAACCACTATCAGCCAAATCCGTTTCCTCCAGGTAGATATGCTATACAATGCATCGTACACGAAAGCCAAGACAGTTTCTCACTCCTTTGCAGAAGTACTTCTGCTAAGTTCCAGGTCTTCCAGGATAACAAGGAATATCCTCAGTTAAGAAGCAATGATGGAGGGAGGGTATAGCTCAGTGCTAAGGTAAGGGTTCAATTCCCAGGACTTCCATTAAACAAACAAACAAACAAACAAACCTAGTTATCTATCCCCCCAAAAGAAGTTAAAATAAAGAAAGAAATTTACTTATTTAAAAAAAGATTTTAAAAAAGAAGCAAAGATAGAAAAAATAGAGTATTTTCATAATTCTTAAAGAGCATGGAACCTATTATATTAGAGAAGGAAAGAATGTCATATACATTTTTTAAAAAGGAAGAATTTCTTTTACCTATACTTTTTATATAAATTCAAATGTCTTGTTACATTTTTATTCCAGAAACAGCAAGGAATTAAATTCGCAAGTGAAATGTCATGGCACTGACCTACAGATGAAGGATGACAACCCAACAGCTTAAAAATGCCAACAGTCTAGCAACTCTTTAAGAGTTTAAGAGTTCTTTAAGAGAACCATCTCTTTAATCATCTTTGCCTCTCAAAGTGTAACAAATGAAACCTCTACTTAAACACATCACAGTCATAAAGACAATTCTCTTTAGAAGGCAGGATTACTAAGGATTCTCACTTTAAAGACATATATTTTAGTAATGTCTGATTTTTTTTGTTTCTTAAAGAGTATGAATTACTTTTGTCAAACAGCATTTTATATACATATATAGGTACACATATATGTTTAATTCTATTCACTAACAATAAAAAGGGTCCATTTAGACTTATCAATAAAAAATAATTATGCTTTTTCATAAATCAAGTTGGTTCAATTGTTTAAGAGGTTTTCAATATTTACAGATAATATGATTTCTATCTAGAAAATCTCAAAGCATATACTTACAAATTATTAAGATTAAGATTAACGATTTCAGCAAGAATGACAGAAAGGGCAGATTCAAAATCAACAAATAAATTATCAATAACATTCTTATATGCCCACAATAATCAATTTGAAAATGTGACGGGAAAAAAGATCAATTCTAAGTAATAACTAAAAACACAAAATGTCTGGGAATAAAATTAATAAGACTAATAATTTAAATTTTAAAATTAAGTTTTAAAATTTAATAAGACTAATTTAAATTTTAAAATTATTTTTAAAATTATGAAAGACCTAAACAAATAAAATAACCCTGTTCTTTGCCAGAAAGACTCAATATTATAAAGCTGTTGGTTGCAAATTAGTTGAAGTCAATGTAATCACAATTAAATCCCAATCACAATTTTATAGAAACTGACAAGCTCATCTTAAAAATCAAATGGAAGGAAAAAAATGGATGGGCAAAGGATGTGAATAGACACTTTTCCAAAGAAGATATATTAATGGCCAAGAAATTCATGAAAAGATGCCAAACATCATCAGCCATCAAGGAAATGCAAATCAAAATCACAAGGTTCCACTCATAGTGAATAGGATATCTACACCAAAACAAAACCCAGAAAATAACCAGTATTGGCAAGGATGTAGAGAAACTGGAACCCTCATACACTGCTGTTGGAAATGTAAAATGGTTCAACTACTGTACAAAACAATCTGGCAGCTCCTCAAAGAGTTAAACATAGAATTACCATACAACCCAGCAATTCCACTTCTAGGTGTATACCCGAAAGAGTTGAAAATAGTTTACTCAAATAAGTAACTATACACACATTTTCACATCAGCACTACTCACAATAGCCAAAAGGTTGAAACAACTCAAAGGTCCATAACAGATAAATGGATACACTGTGGCATATAAACATAATACAATATTATTCAGCCACAAAAGGAATGAATACATGCTACAACATGGAAGAACCTCAGAAACGTTACACTAAGTGAAAGAAGCCAGACAGACACAGGTCACATATGATTCCATGTATATGAAATATCCAGAATAGGTAAACCCATAGAGACAGGACACAGACTGGTAACTAGCAGAAGCTAGGGAAAGGGAAGAATAGGGAGCAACTACTTAATGGGTACAGAATTTTCTTTTGGGATGATGAAAATGTTTTGGAACTAGATAGAGGTGATGTTTGTACAACACTGTGAATGTACTAAACGACAGAGTCCCTTTAAAATGGTTAATTTTATGTTATGTGAATTTTGCATCAGTAAAAAATTAAGTCAAATGGAAGAGAAAATGTACATAATAGATGAAAAATATCTGCAAAGGAAGAGTAACAAGAAAAGATTTGCTCTCTCAGATTGAAAAACATACTATGAAGTAATAGTAATTAAAAGAGTATGATATTTAGTTGAAATAGGCAAAAACATCACTAGAAGGAAACAAGAGTAAAAATGACCTTTGGGAAATTATAAAAAAGGTATTTCAAATCAGTGAGGGGAAGACAACTCAAATGATAACAGGACAACTAGGTACCTGTTTAGAGAAAAGTGATGTTAGATCTTTAATACTATCAATAAAAAACAGACTGCAGTTGGCTCAAAGTGCTAAATGTTGGAAGTAAAACTATAAATATATTAAAAGAAAATATAGAGTAAAAACTGATCAAAATCTAAGGGTAAAGAAAGCCTTCTGAGTTAAGACATAAAACAGAAATCATAAAGAGACTCAAATTTTCAAAATTAAAAACTTCTGTAAACCAAAAGAAACTGTGAAGACAAAACAACAGTCTGGAAGAAAATATCTACAACATATAAGACTTCAAAGATTTATATACCAAATATGTAAAGACCTACAATCAATATGAAAGAAGCAACCCAATTAAAACAAAAACTAAAAACAGACAAAAGATAAGAATGGTCACAAAAAGAAATATTCAAATTTAATTGGTCAGTGTTTGGCCCAGGCTTGGGTATTATTCTTAAATCTCCCTAGATTATTTTTCTGTGCAATCAGGGTAAAGGATCACCCAGCTACCTATATGGGGAATGAGAAGTAACCAGACTGCCCAAGGTGAAGTATAAGGAGAAAGACAGGAAAAATAAACCATCACTTTAAAGGGCTCCTGCCCACTCACAAGGGAAGGGCCTGAGAGTGCATTAAATGTCTTAAAGGAGATTGGTTTATTTTTATCTAGTCAGAGAATATTACCATTTTTTATTTCTACAAGGTAAAACACATGAATCATATTCTTTTTTTTTTAATTGAAGTATAGTTGATTTTAAATGTTGTGTTAGTTTCTGGTGTACAGGAAAGTGATTCAGTTATATACATATATATTCTTTTTCAGATTCTTTTACATTACAGTTTATTACAAGATACTGAATATAGTTCCCTCTGCTATACAGTAGGACCTAGCTGTTTATGTATTTTATATATAGTAGTTTGTATCTGCTAATTCTAAACTCCTAATTTATCCCTCCTCTCCCTCCTCCCCCACCTTTCCCCTTTGGTAACCATAAATTTGTTTTCTATGTCTGAGAGTCCGTTTCTGTTTTGTAAATAAGTTTATTTGTATCATTTTTTAGATGAATCATATTCTTTAAAGACTAATGAGGAAAACTATTAAGAAATAAATTTATATTCCTAAGTGCAAGCAGCCCAGGATTAAATACTTGCAAAATATGACCAAAGCAGACATATATAACATTATACGGATAAGCAAACCACTGAAAAATACCTGCTTTGTGATTTTATTTTATAAATTTCAAAAACAGGCAAAATTAAACAATAGGTTAAGGATACAAACTGGTTCAAGTATAAAGAAAATACAAAACTCAGATTACTTCTGAAACGGGAAGGAAGAAGTGGGATTAAGAATAGGAACACAGAGATCTTCAATTTTTTCTTAAAACTAAGTGGTTAGATACATGGGAATTCACTGTCCTATTATTCTGTATACCTTACATATATTTTGCATACATTACTTTGTAACTTCTCAGTATTTAATAAAAGATCACAATTTACAAACAAACAGGACTGGAGGGGAGAAAATAGCTCAGTGGTAGGAGCACATGCTTAGCATGTAATGAGGTCCTGGGTTCAATCCCCAGTAGCTCCATTAAAAATTAGTTAATTAATGAACCTAATTACCTCCACCCCCCAAAAATTAAAATAAAATAAAAACAAAAAGGACTGTATAGAAATGCATGTAAGTACATACATAATCTTTTAATTCTAGATTCAATCT